CTTTCACTGATTTAAAGAAGGACTTTGATTCTGTTGAGACGGAAGCAGTCATTGAAGCATTAGCCAATCAGGGCATTCAAGCCCAATACATCAAGATCCTCCGTGAGCTGTATTGCGGATTCACTACCAGGATCTCACCATTCTACAAAGAAGTGATCGTTGATGTCAAGAGAGGGATTCGGCAGGGTGATACCATTTCACCGAAACTCTTCAGTGCCACCCTCGAGCACGTCTTGCAACGACTGGAATGGGAAGCAATGGGAGTGAAGATAGATGGTCGGCAACTACACCACCTCCGCTTTCTGATGACATTGTTTTAATAACACCAAACATCAGCCAAGTGGCACACATGCTGCCCGACTTTGACCGTGAGTGTGGAAAGGTAGGACTACAGCTGAATCTTACAAAGACAATGTTTATGAGAAACAGCCTCGTTCCTGATGCCTCATTTGCTCTCAATGGAACAACCATCTTCGAATGCAACAGCTATGTGTACCTAGGTCTAGAAGTCAACATGACAAATGACCTGGCACCCAAGCTGCGCAGGAGGAAGAGAGCGGCTTGGAACGCCTTCAAGAACGTCGAAGAAATAGCTAAGAGGACAAAGAACCTCTGGCTCTTGGCACATCTCTTTGATTCCACTGTTCTTCCTGCATTAACATATGACTCAGAGACCTGGGCCCTACGCAAACAAGATGAGAACGCTATTCAGGTCTCCCAAAGAAGAATAGAAAGAGCTATGCTTGGAATATCATGTTTCACTCAAATGAGAGAAAGAATCTGGAGTTCCGACATCGTCGACGATCAAGAATCAGGGACGCTGTCTCATTTGCCAAGGTGTCGAAAATCAGATGGGCTAGTCACGCAATGAAATTTAAAGACAACCGCTGAACTAGAGCTGTTACTGACTGGATTACACGGGATGTCAAAAGACCGCGTGGCCGCCCACCTACCAGATGGTCAGACTTCTTCGTCAAGATCATGAATGATCAGTTTGAGGCTCTTCATGTTCCCAGAGCGAACAGATGCTATTGGGCTACACTAGCACGCTACAGGGACAAATGCAGACGTTACTGGCGCCCACTCGAGCAATTCGATGACTAACGGGAAGTTAAGTGATAAAGTGATTAAGTCCAAATATATTTATGACTTTATGTAATTACAACATAGGCTTATAGAATCATAAAACTGGGTATCAAGATGCCATCAATTCGTGTGTTGGTAAAAGTATAGAGTATTTTTATGAATTAGATGCATGTATTTAAGAGGTTAATAAGTGGTTACCTTTATTAACAAAGAAACTTTACTATTAATAATCCATGATGAGCCCTGGAATTTTATTCCATCCCTCTCTCTCTAAAAAAAGAAAAAACAATGGCGTAACCGATATTTTAAAGCTGAATAATGAAATCAGTTTTTCTAGTAAGATAACTGTCTCATACACTCAATGAACTAACCCAAGAGATTTGGTGCTAAATGGTTTCTGGCAAATTGATGGTACATGGTATGAGAAGTGTCCACATCAATATATTTATGTATTTTTCTATACCTGTCCTTTTAAAGCTTCTTATAAAGAAAACATGGCCGTTATATACCATTTCCTCTGTGCAAAAAACATTTGAAGTTAATAATTTATGATGCTCCAATTTGTCAAGGCCTTTCCTTCAGATTGATTTAGCCGTTTTTTAATAGTCCAGGTCACTGTCACTGTCCTCCTGTTGTTCATTGATTTGCTCGAGCGGGCCCAGTAACATCTCCATCGTGAGACTTGTTGTTACTGTGTTTGGCATATCGAATATGTCATAAGGAGCTTGCCAGGCTTTGTCTGCAGGCAAGATACTCTTGGTAGCTTGCTAGGCTCTCTGAGAGGGGCGGAGAAATCAAACTCGGGTCGGTCATGTTGGCTGAGTGCAAGGCGAATGCCCTACCAGCTGTGCTATTGTCCCAGTTTATATTTCAAAAAAGTTTTAACAATTTTGGTGCTCACTGAAACAGTAAATTCGAACAAAGGATTCCTGACAGTCCACATGGCCAAGACATAGAAATTGCTCAACAAATCTTCAAAACTCTTTTAAGAAAACAAAACTGGGGAGTGGGCTCTTCAATAAACTGTGTTGTGAAAACTGATAAGTCACATGTAAAAAAATAAAAACACTCAAACCTTTTCTCATACTATGAACCAAAGTAAACTTAAAAAAGCATTAAAGACCTTTATATCAGACCACAATCCATAAATTATTTTGAGAAAAAGCATAGGCAGAACTTCTCATAGTTTTGACTCTTGCGATATATTAAATAAACTAATGACACTGACTAAACTTATAGATGGAAAGATCAATAAATTAAGCTATAGGAAATTAAGAAGCATCATATCACAAATTGAACCACAGAAACATACTGGGGGAAGATATGTGCTCACCATTCATCTGTCAATGGGTCCAAGATGTATGAAGCACTTCAAAAACTTTATAACAAAGAACAAATCACCCCATCAAAACTAGGTGGAAGAAATAAATTTATGCTTTCTCAAAGAACACATGCAGATAACCTATAGATATATTTTTAAAAGTTTCCCATCACTCATCTTCAGGGGAATGCAAATTAAAGAAACAATGCGAGGACATCTTGAAACAGTGATACTGGGACACATAGAAAAGAACAAAAGCAACCAATACAGGTGAAATGTGGAGTGGAGGGGAAGAAACCCTTATCAGCTACTGCTGGGAATGTCTTCTGTCAAATTTTTCAGGAAAAAAAGTAGATGTTTCTCAAAAAAAATTGAGCTTCTGTAAGACTGAACAGTTCTAAAATCTCTATTCCAAAAAAGACATTTGTGCACCTATGTTCACTGTAGCAATATTCATAATTGCACAAGTCTGGAAACAAACCAAACATTCAAGAGTAAATTACTGGATAATGAAACCACAAGATTTACATATATATATATATATATTTGTGTGTGTCTGTGTGTATACACATATACACCTATATGTATATGTGTATATATGTGTATATAAAGGTAAAGGCCCTCCTGTTGATCGTCGATTTGCTCGAGCGGGCCCAGTAACGTCTCCATTGCAGACTTTGTTGTTACTGTGTCTGGCATATTTAATACCCTTGGTAGCTTGCCGGGCTCTCCGAGAGGGGCAGAGGAATCGAACTCGGGTCGGCCATGTTGGCCGCTTGTAAGGCAAACGCCCTACCGCTGGCTGGATATGTGTATATATATTTATATAAATGTATGTGTATGTATACATATATATGTGTGCATATGTATGTATGCACATATATATATACACACACACAAAGCAATGATACTTGCATATAAGAAAAGATAAAAATTATGCTATTTACCACACTGTTGATTGACTTGAAGTTTAACATACTTAGAAATGGAGGGATAGATACAGAACTCTATCTATCCTGGGTAGTATATAAAAAATAGTAAGTAAAGATAGACACATGGAACAAATTACGATAACTTTTCTAAAGAACTAAGCTATGTAAACTCAAAAAAGAGGATTCAGCAGTGGCGATCTATCTCTCCTGCAGCCCACATTTTGTAGTCTCATACCGGTTCCCCCACCCTGGGGAGGTCAATGGCGATGGGCAGGCGAAAGAAGGAAATGAGGGCCAGGCTGGTTGGTCCTAGTCGCAGTTTATTACATTCCCATCTCCATTCTCCTCTGATTCTCCTCCTGCTTCTTCCTCCTCCATGCTACTTCATTCTCCTTCTGAACCCCCAGCCCACTCTTAGTGTCTCATTAAATCCCAAAGCATGAGGGGTTAGGGCTTACACGTACGTGTGGTCACAATCAATAGGCTTAAAATTCTTTACCTCAGAGAAAGCAGCTAGTCTCTCAGCAGGACAAACCACACTAGAATGGAATCCCTGAATGTGTTTCTCCTCTCTTTGTCCAACAAACATATAAACATACATAATATAAATCATTTTGTATGGATATAGTAAGAAATACTTAAGCTTATAAAATTGCTCTTCTAGGGCCATCTTGATCTCAGACTACAGTGCTCAGGCCAGATTGTCTTTCCTATCCTTAGCAGGGTCCTAGTCTGATTGTTACTTTTGGATCCTGACAACATCTGCCCATGACCACGCCCTTAACTTATAGTTAAGAATCGTAACCGTTTGGCCTGGCCCATTTTCATGCCAGGGTAGCTCACAGCTTGCCCTGGGTCCATTCAGTCCCTCGTCGGGACGCTGCTTTTAGGGTGTTAGGAATCAAGGGCAACTGAGGCTTAAGTCGAGAAAGCAGATACTCTGGAGTGAATAACATTCAGTGCCAATTAAATCCTAAATTACAAAGCACAATATTAACAGTCCTGTATCTATACAAAAAAGGACATTGCTTTAAAGTAAACTATTCAAAAGACATGAGGAGAGGAGAAGGACAATATTTCACTCATACATATAAAATCATAGATTTCTGAGGAATCTGACCTTACATGTTAACCGAGTCTGATTAGGGGAAAAGCTGAATAACTGGGTGGGGAGGAGAGCATAGGGAAGAGATTACAGATAAAGACAATGGAATGGAAGTGCCTCAGGAGCACTGCAATAAACCTGAGTTTCTCGTGGCAAGGGGAAAAGGGCAAGCCAATATTAAGCCTAAAATATTTGGAGCTATATTTCAACACTAAGCTTACCAAGAATGAAAGTGAGGTGCAGACTTGGGGTACTTAGATTATAGTGAGGAAGAGGAAACTCTGGTGGACTGTAAGTTGTTGGAACATCGTATACATGAAAATCTATCATTAACAGTATTGTGAATCTACAATGCCTAAAATTATCATAAGAATTCTGTAATTAAGCAAGTCAAATTTGATAAAATACTTACTAAAGTTTTAGGTTTTCAAGATTTGGTTGAATATTTTTATTTAAACTTCATAAAGTTGAATTCAAATAGCTTGTAAAATTCAATAGCATTCAAATAGCTTGTAAAATTCAGTAGCATTGTAGGTCAAATTAAAAAAGAAGAAGGATCCTTTTCTGGTTTATAAGCATGATGATTGGGTGCTGACACATTTGTGGGACATGTGCATCCTTTAAATCTTGTTATGCACTTGACACATTAGACATCTGATGTGAAAAAAAGAAATGTGAGCAAAAAGAAATAAACTAATATGTTCAATAATGGAAATTTTTCTAGGAATAGTTATCTGGAATATGAATGATTCTAGACAGTTTTAAACTGAAATAATTAGCAAAAAAATTCTACATTAGAAAACTAACTTATTTTCTTTCTTGGGGCCCACACCCAGCAGTGCTCAGTTCTTACTCTTGGCTCTGTGCTCATGACCTTCCTAGTGATCTCAGTGTGTATGTGTGTGTGTACGAAGGGGATATTTGGGATTTTAGAGATCAGCTGCATGCAATGCAAAGGCTTTACCTCTATGTCTCTCCATACTTAAACTAAATTTTCTACTTTCCTATCTGTTGTTAATTTTTATTAATAAATAAAATGCCAGACACAGTAACAACAAAATCTCCAATGGAGATGTTACTGGGCCCGCTCGAGCAAATCGATGATCAATGGAAGGGCCTTTACTTTACTTTACTTTATATTTAGTTACTATATTTTAGCTCATAATATGAGCTCTTAGTGAGAATAAAATAAACTTACTTTGAATCACTTAGATGAAGCAAATGTGCCATACATTATTAAACTACCATTACCTCAGCAGCGTGCATTTAAGAAAACAGAAGAAAGTGTAAAATGCATGGTAGTTATTTTTGTATTATTGAAAGAGTGAAATGCAGTCTCATTTTGTGTTTGAATATTGTTAAAAACAAATCAAATAGAACTAGAATAGATAAGGCAAAATACTGTCTTTGAACCCAGGGTTTTTTTTTTGTTAATTATAAGTATTGGAAATACAGTTAATTAATTATAGAAGGAAAATCTTACAAAACTTGCTGAAAATCAAACTGGAGTATATATATTTAACTCGATTGTCATTTTCACAGTGGCAAAATAAATATTTGTTGGTTCTCTTGAGGGTTGAAATTGGGCAGAAGCAAGCATGACTGTTAGATTCTAATTAAAACATTGGAAGAATATGGAAAAATTTCGCAATGTTAAAGAGGAAATAAGGATAACAGAAACAGAAACCTCTGTTTGTCTCTATAAACCTCACGTACATGGTAAGCAATCAGTCAGATACTAGAAACAGCTAACAGCAGGGGGAGTTTGTATTCATAAACACAATGAGCACAAAATTGTTAAAATCTTTTTGAAATATAAACTGGGACATCATTAATTATTAACTTCAAATATTTTTTTGCACACAGAAAATGCTATATAACAGCCATGTTTTCTTTACAAGAAAGGGGAAGTAGGAGAAGGGTTGGGTGTCTCCTTGTAGCTGACGTCACTCTCCCACTCTGGCTATAGCAGATGGAGGACACCTCCCTCATCTCTGGTCTCATCCCTTGGAGTCACTCTCTAAGAGATCATGGACATCTATTCAAGTCCATGGGCATAAAGAAAATCCTTGCTCTTGGGCTTATGGTATTGGATTTTTCAACCACTGGTGTCAGGTTTTGGTGTCAGGTTTTAGGATTGAGAGAGTTGGTAAACATCAACACCAGAACCTCACTTCTGCTTGTGAGTGTGCATCAAAGAAGTGGAGATGTTGATAGTACTTTCAAATCAGAAGATGAAGTCACTGCTTCTATACTCAACCACATTGGCAAAGAATCATCTGAGTCAAATTTATAGACTACAGGTCAAAGGTGACAGGTCACAGTCCTCCCGTTGTTCATCGATTTGCTCAAGTGGGCCCAGTAACATCTCCATCATGAGACTTGTTACTGTGTTTGGCATATCGAATATGTCACGGGTAGCTTGCCAGGCTCTGTCGTGCGGGCGAGATACTCTCGGTAGCTTGCCGGGCTCTCCGAGAGGGGCAGAGGAATAGAACTCGGGTTGGCCATGTTGGCCGAAAGTGGACAATCAATGTGAGGAGACACTAGTTCCCTTAAATTTATAAGAGAAAGCTAATGATATTAAAATAATTTAATAAAGTAGTAGAAATACAAAATAAAAAATCTAAAATCCAAATCTCTAGGTTTTTACAAACAAGTCACGACAAAATAAAAATAAAGAGAAAATTTGCTTAGGAATATTGTTAGAAGAAAGACTTAAATGTAATAAAATAATATACTTACTACGAATTAATGTAAAACGTGCATGGCCTTAGGTTCCAGGTTTTTCCTGGCTTGCTGATCATTACAGTGAGTGACCCCACTACAAACAGAAGCATATATAAAAAAGTCCCAAATTCGTAGTAATGAGCCTGAATTAGGCACTATTATAGAGGAGGAGGGAGATAATTTTCTTGAATACTCAGAAATTGTGACTAAATGCTAAAATTTACAAAATGTATATTATGAATCGTAAAGTTTATATTTCTATCAAAAGAAGAAATGGTCCTCCCATTGTTCATCGATTTGCTCGAGCGGGTCCAGTAATGTCTCCATTGTGAGACTTGTTACTGTGTTTGGCATATTGAATACGTCATGGGTAGCTTGCCAGGCCTTGCCATGTGGGTGAAATATTCTCGGTAGCTTGCGGGGCCCTCCAAGAGGGGCGGAGGAATCAAACCTGACTTGGCCGGGCTGGCTGCACACAAGGCAAACACCCTACCGCTGTGCTATCGCTCTAGCCCCATATATTTCTATACCTATATACTGTTACAATGTTCAAATCTTCCAGTCTATTATGCAAATAATAAATTTTGGTTTATTAATTTACTCCACCACTACAAAAAATATATAGCCAATTTTTGATTGTTTGGTAACTATTTTGTATTAAAATTGAAATACTAAAAATTTCCACCATTGTTCCCTTGCAATTTTTCTATCTTATTTAATCTTTTCTGAATTTGAGACTAAAGTTACAGAGAGGGAGACTTTTCTTAGTTCTTTGATATTAGAGGATGAACATTCTAATTACTATATCAACAGGTTATATTTGATCACCTAAATTAATATTCCAGTAGATTTGAATGCTATGCAAATTTTATGTGTCATTTTCAACTAAGATGAGTATCATTCAATAATTTAGACTAACCTCTGATATTTCTTCTTATTCACTGATCTTTTTGATGATAGCATTTATTTCATACTATATTTCACCTCTCATAACTTTGTTAGTATCTTGTAAAGTATAGTTTGAAAGTGTTATGAAAATTTGTTCTGATATAATGACCATGTTAGAAAATACATACGAAAGACATTTTCCAATTAGTTTTGACATAAGAATCACAGACTGTTGTAATGAATATAAAGTATTGAGCTCTGGGGGGCTGTTTTAAATGCTGAATTTAACCTAATGCCCCTTCTAATAAAAAATAACTTCAAGTTTTTTCTTTATGTTGTTGTTTTCCTTGTGGTTAGGTTTATCTTGAATTGTGTGAGCATGATAAGGTTAAATTCAAACTGCATAATGTTGGCTTTTCTAATGTTGCTTTTTGGCACACACATATTCAATTCAAATTCACATATTCAACCTATGGGGTTGAGTAATGTTGATAAGGGTTGTTATTTGGTGTTGGGACCACACCTAGCAATGGTTAGGGTTTATACCTGGCTCTGTACTTTTTATTCCTGGAGGATGAGCAATCCTTTCCAAAATTAGAAGAGTTAAACCAAAACTTCCCCAAAGTAGATATGCAACTGTCCTTTGGGCACAAGAAAAATAAATGTCAGCATTACTTATTATCAGGGAAATAAAAATAAAATTCAAAATCATATATCACCTCATACCCACAAGAATGGCCTACAAAAATTAGATCAGAACTGCTAGCCAAGAAACCCTCATCTACCATTGGTGGGAATGTAAATTAGTTCAGTCTTTATGGAAAACAGTATGAACTCTCAGAAAATTTCAAGTAGAACTACCATAGAATTTCCAATGATAGGTATCTAACCCAGTATTGGAAAACTTCCACTGTTAAATGTCTAGTTAGAAACCTGAAAATAAAAATAAAACACAAAACTATTTCAAAAAGGTAGATGCATAGCCATTTTCATAGTAGCTCTATTTGTATTAGTCAAGATCTGAAAATAGCCGATCGTATACAACAACAGATAGAGGATAAACAAACTGTGTTCATTGTCCTTGAAAAGCTACTTAGTTATAAAGTATATATTGCATCTTGTAATTATGTGGATGAAGGGTGTTAAATAAATCAATTGAGTGAAATATATCAAATGAAAGGCAATATTGGATGATTTCATTTATATGTAGTATGTTAATACACAAAGCAAGAAAATAGACATTGCCCAAAATGACCAAATCCTTACAACCCAAATACAAGGCAGAAATAAGATTATCAAGAGTAGGTAAATGGAACAAAACGATCTTAATGACAGTGGTGTAGACGTATAGACGTATTATTGCTTTGGTAGTAGGTGTATTATGATAACATTGAACCATATATTTACATAAATATAAATATATACATTTATATTTTTTAAACCAATGCAATCTCAAGAAAAGATAGTCAATAAAGTTATTTCTATTCAAAATGATGACGAGGACGAGAACGACGACGACGACGACAACGACGACGATGATGATGATGATGATGATGATGATGATGATAACTTTACAACCAAGCTATTGATATTTTGATGCTCTGAGCAATGGGAGCCATGCTGTTCCATAGGGAGACATGTCCAAAATCCTTGTTCATAGGTGATTTGGAGCTAATTGTTGATAATACATCTTAAATTAAGAATCTGAAACCCTCTAAAAGTTTGTGTGCTTTATATAACCTACTGCTGTAATTTATAAATAATGTCAAATGAAAATACTCTTTAGACACAAAAATTTTGCAGTGGTTTAACTTTAAAATAATTGCTTTTCAGTACTGCCGAGCTACTGATATATATGCGAGCTTTGAAATAACACAAATTTTATTGCCTACCCACTTCAGATATGTACTACATAGAAGTTAACTTGGATACCTCCCAGTCATAATGTCATTACTCTATAAACTCAAGCTGAGAAACACATTTTTTTCTTACCAACATTTTTCTAAGTTTTCAAATAATTGACATATACTTGGAATGAAATT